CATCACCTTTTTTTTCCCTTCAATATCGGCTGGCAATGGCCCGGATTCGCATGCATGGTGGAAAATGGGGAGGACTAATGAGCGCATCAGCCTCATTTTGGTGCTGGGGGGGGGGGGGGCTATATTTTTGTCATTCCATATTTTCTTGAGCTTTTTTAGTGCTGTTGTAGTCTGCGCAATCCTGGACATCAGTTCGGACTTGGAGCCTTCTTCTGAGACTAATGCTCCTAGGTATTTGAAGTGGCCGATAGTCTCTAATCTTTCCTCCCCGACCTTAATTTCAGTGGTGATGCCTGCGGTATTATTTGTCATCAGTTTTGTCTTTTCGGCACTGATTAGAATGCCGTAGGAAGACGAGGTCTTATCGAGACGCTTTACCAGGTCGGCTAGCTTTTCATCATTCCCAGCCAGCACGTCTATGTCGTCCGCAAAGCGTAGGTTGGTGATTTTTCTGCCAACAAACTGACTGTCCCTTCATGCACTTCCAGAGCATCTGACATAATTCTCTCTAGAAAGATGTTGAACAGGGTAGGCGAGAGCATGCAGCCTTTTCGAAATCCAACCACGGTCTTGAACCCTTCTCCGATGTTGGTGTTGAGGAAGACTGCACTGGTGGACTTATCATAGCGGTTGCATGTCATGCTGTTTAGGTTTGTGTTGATGTTGTAGTGCCTCATGGTTGCCCATAAAGCAGCATGCCAAACCCTGTCAAATGCTTTCTTGCAGTCAACAAAGACGTGGTTTGGATTTTGTTGGTGTTGAGCATATTTCTCACATAGTATTTGGAGGTTTAGAGTCTGCTTAGTAGTGCCCCGTCCTTGTCTGAAGCCCACCTTTTCTTCAGCAATGATTCTGTCTGCATTTGGTTTTTGTCGGTTCAATATGATCTTCAGCATGACCTTGCTTGGATGGCTTTTTTGGGCTAATTGTGCGATAGTTTATGCATAGCTGTAGGTTACCTTTTTTAAGGAAGATTTAATGAAGCTTAATAACAAGTTTGAATATGACAGTATTTATTACCCTTGCTCTGATCTGAAAATTTTGTGTTATAAATCCTAATTCAATTTAACCAACCCTAAAATAATATTTTCGTATAAATCCTTTAAATGCGTTTTTTTTTTAATTTTATGTTTTATAAATATTCTAATGACCCAACCACTTTTACGCTGCAGATTTATTTCACCAACTTTTTCAGAAAAACAAAAGACACTATACCGCATCAATCCCACATGATATTTTTTTTCTTTTAAGAATTCCTTTAGCGCAGGCAGTTACCGGGAATTTTATTTCTTGAAATCTGTGTCATCCAATGTCCTTTATATTCCCTTTGAAAAACAAAACCAAACTGGTTTATTGGCTGTTTTGAGGGTAATGGAGTGGAGCTGAACATTTTGAAGAAATGTATTTTCATTGGCAACGCGTCCATGTTCCAAGTTCCAGTTCGATGCGTTGTTAAAAAAGGTAAGTCAATTAACCGTCTGAAAATTTAACCATAAGAAATACACAAACAAAGGCGACGTTAATAGGATGGCTTTAAAAGCAAACACAAAAATATCATCCAAATAGCGTAACAAAAAACACAGCCCCAAAATAAATGGGAGACGTAAAAGTTTTTTTTTATTCTTTCAATAGTCGTTCTTTATACACGCATGCCACCGACCAATGGCTCAAATAAACCATATAAACAAATTTATTTAAAGTCCCAGGATCCCCAAACTTTAAAAACTGGGTCTCTCCCGTGGCTCAATTTTACGCTAGTCCCAACAGTCACGTGATCGAATCTGTGTTCGATTTCAGCATTGATATCGGTACCGCCATCTGGAACATGTACCACCGCGACACCTACTCTGTTCTCTATAATTTATAAACATTCAAAAGATAATATACTTGTAAGTCGTATAAATATATTTAATCAATCGAAATGGAAATGTATAAATCTTGTATTTATTAGGAAACTTATACGATATATAGTTACATAATGATTTGTATGTAAGTATTTGTTAGCGTTAAATTTCGTGATTTTTTTTTTAAAAATTTTGCACTTAAAATACTTTTCAATTACATTGTCACCTCATTAATTTTTTAATCTACTTACTAGGTTCTTCTGTAGGCTTGGGATTCTGAGGAACATGAAAAAAAGTGATTTTTTTCAATGGATTTTTTTATGTGATTTTATTCCGAAAACATAGGTAGCCATATTTTCCTGGGTTTAGTCTTTCATTTGTTTATTGCGGTTCTAACCAGACCGTGCAGAAGATTTATTTTTTCTTCAAAATTTCATCCATTGTAGAAAATGGTTAATAATTTTCACAATCATTTCCCGTGCAAGGAACTAAAAACTTTTAAATAGCATTTACCTTTTTGCCTCTTTTTTAGTTTATTTTAATTAATTTTTTTTTTACATTTAAATTCCCATGTATGTTTATGGAAAATGATTTTAAAGAAAAAAAAATCAAAATTAAACGATACATTTTTAAATTGGATCAAACGATATCTCGAAAACTGGTTAAATGCTTTGCAAGAATTTTTTACCAGCATTAATAAAGCTCCTTTAACAAGGGGTTCAAAATCATTTTTTTTTTCCATTTATCAATTTGTTACATAAAAAAACGCTATGAGCCTTTCATAGTAAATATTTACGTTTTTAATAAACTTAACAGTGCCAAGAAGCTCATGTTGCCCGGGACCCAAAAAGTGTATGTCCTGTAACACTGCCCCCGACTTAAATTGAAAAAAAAAAATATAACTTTTATTACCCTTAATACATTTTAAAAAGATAGATTACGCGGGAATTTCTGTTGTCAAAAAGGATGACACCCTTTTGTTAGTAAGGAAAAGTTTCGGAATATAATTATATATTTTGTTGCAAGAGATATAAGTAAAGACAAGATTTTTTTTTAAATTGTTATTTCCCTTGGCAACAGCTGGCCAATATTTGTTTAACGTTGACATACCGTTTCTCGACCATGACGCTCAAGGAGATCTATCACGTAAATGCCTTCTGAAATTTAGAAAAATATAAATGAAGTAATTAAGGGAATTATGTATATATATATATATATATATATATAGAGAGAGAGAGAGAGAGAGATAGATATATAGATAGAGAGAAATGAATATATATATTAATGAGTGCCTTTTAAAAAAAAATAATTTAAAAAACTAACTCCTTGTCACAATTCTTAAGAAAAAAGTGTAACTGCAATTTTTTTTACATATGTATTTTATGCCACTTTCTAGAAGTTAATACCTGAAGCATCAATCAATAATTGATCAAATGGAAGAGTAGCACGACTTCGTGAAGCACATTGCCTTATTTATAGTTTATAGACGAGAATTGCCGGGTGTATTATCTCGAGATGTAAGTAATAAATCTTAACACCACAATCTGCCACAAAGCGTTTTCTTGTGTTTATTGATAATTCTAAAATTGTACTCTTTTAAATAATAACTGAAGCATCTTCCACGGCAAATCATCCGCTCAACTTTCACCTCCCAACATTCACCTCCCAATTTTCCACTCCCAACTTTCCCCTCCCAACTTTCCCCTCCCAAATTTCCCCTCCCAACTTTCCCCTCCCAACTTTCCCCTCCCAACTTTCCCCTCCCAACTTTCCCCTCCCAACTTTCCCCTCCAAATTTTCCCCTCCCAACTTTCGCCTCCCAACTTTCACCCATTTATGTTTATTTTTAAACCAAACTAATCTTCATGTTAATTTTTTATTTTAGTGACTTACCCACTCCGGCTGATACTAAATTGATCTGATCGCACAAACGAATGACAACTTTCAAGTAGACTCCATATTTTTCACCCGATTCTGCAAATGTATTTTAGACATAAAATATTATATATCTTATAAAATAGTTATTCAGCCTTAACAAATTTAAAAACAATTGGTTTGATTTATACAATAAACATTTCTTGACGAGAATACTCTTCTAATCGAAAAACGTGTTACTTTCCTTTTAGATAAGTTGGCTTATATTTTAATATATATATATATATATATATATATATATATATATATATATATATATATATATAACATATATATATATAAAAAATATATATATATATATATATACCGCATATATATGTACGAAAAAATTATATCTATGCATA